AAAGTTTAATTTAGTTTGAAGTTTAATTTAGTTTAAAGTAGATAGATAGATGAGTGTCATAGATATATGAGTTTATGAGTTTGAATGAGTCTCATTGGCTCATATAGTATATAGAATGGCAGTTTGATTCAGTCTAGGGTTTCAAGGGATTTACATTTGAATTTTTGACAGTTGGGGAGTTTGAAAATCTGAACATTCCGCAATGTAAAGTCAATGGGAGTTTTTTCCGACTTTGATCGTCATTTTTAGGAAAACCGTAAGTCCGATCAGTTAGAAAAGATATAGCATACCGAGTCAGAACAGTTTGAGTGTCCGTGCCGAGTTTGGAGTATGTGGAGTTAAAGCTCTAGGAGGAGTTAGAGTTGTAAATTTTGAGTAAGAAGAATAATAATAATATTAAGTTTAAGTACAACATCAGTAAGTTGGCTCTCACAAGCCAACTTAATAATAATAATAATAAGTTTAAATACAACATCAGTAAGTTGGCTCTCACAAGCCAACTTAATAATAATAAGTTTAAGTACAATATCAGTAAGTTGGCTCTCACAAGCCAACTTAATAAGTTTAAGTACAATATCAGTAAGTTGGCTCTCACAAGCCAACTTAATAATAAGTTTAAATAGCATTTCAGTAAGTTGGCTCTCCAAGCCAACTTAATAAGTTTAAATAGGATTTCAGTAAGTTGGCTCTCACAAGCCAACTTAATAATAAGTTTAAGTACAATATCAGTAAGTTGGCTCTCACAAGCCAACTTAATAATAATAAGTTTAAATAGCATTTCAGTAAGTTGGCTCTCCAAGCCAACTTAATAATAAGTTTAAATAGCATTTCAGTAAGTTGGCTCTCCAAGCCAACTTAATAAGTATGCACAATAACACTAGTGTTGCTTTGCCTATGGCAAAAGCACCACTAATAAGAAAACTTACAGATACAATAGGTGCCTCTGCACCTTCGGTGCTTGGCCCCTAATAAGAAAACTAACAGATACAATAGGTGCCTCTGCACCTTCGGTGCTTGGCCCCTAATAACAGATACAATAGGTGCCTCAGCCCCTTTGGGGCTTGGCCCCTAATAATAAGAAAACTAACAGATACATTAGGGGCTATCCCCTTCGGGGCTTGGCCCCTAAAAACTAACAGATACAATAGGGGCTATTCCCTTCGGGGCTTGGCCCCTAAAAAAAACAGCAGGATTGCGAGGCCCCCTAATGGCGTGAGGCCCTGTGCAGTTGCACAGTTCGCACAGCCCTTGCGACGGCTCTGGACGCAGTGTTGCAGTGAGATAATTAAGTTAATATGTAAGTGATTGTTGAGTATTAGTGACTATTAACAAGCAGAATCACTGAGGGAAAGAGAAACACTGAACAGAAAATAGAGAAACACAAGAACTACAACTGACTTCCAGCTATTACACATTATTACATTTATTATTACCCAGTATGACTTTATTTCTGTCATACATCTACAGAAGATGTTGTTGAGATGTGTAATTGAAAATGTTTGGTTTGAAGTTACCATTATAGAGATCAGTGTTTGCTTTAGTTGGGATGCTGACCCTTAACTTTTTTAACATTAGTTTTTCCACTTGCTGCTTGACTGTGTTTTTACAAGCCACACATGTGCGTACATGCATGGTTTGTGAATGCAGTTTGTTATATTGATTATGATGACAAAATCATTATATAACCTGTTCATTCACTAATCTCATTCAGAGTTTAATCCTGTATCAAAAGTGATACATTACCACCCTGTGAAACTACAGTAATGAGCTACAATGATGATTTTTTGTTTAACACTTAACACAAACAAACAAACAAACACACACACACACACACGCACGCACACACGCACGCACACACACACAAAAACTGCTACACTGTCTTGTAGAAAAACACAGAGATATCAAAAATCAGCACATGAATCTCAACTATGGTGGCAATAAAAAAAGAATTAATGCTGCAGTGCATGCTGGGAGTTCTATACTGGAACCCAGCATGCATCGCGACATGAAACTTTTTATTGTCACCACTGTTGAAATTCATAATACTGATTGTTGATGTCTGTGTGTGTCTGAGTCAAGCAGGAGGTCAAAATGGTTTAATGCACTATATGCTTTCTCTATTCTTCAAAATATAATTGGTTACAGAAATGTTGCTGGATTTCATGTTGTAGATTAACATATATATGATATATATTAAATACCCATAAATTCAAAGCTTATATACAGGATGAGAGTCACTCATTTCCAGGTAGATTATGGCATCATCACAACAGCCAAAAACACCTGATCAAGTTCCTCTTGGCTTTTTCTTGACTTAACAAATGTATTTTAATAAACTCACAGTTACAGCAGTCTGAGAATAACAACTGTTATAAAGACAAGGGTCAAGAGCTCATCTAAAGCAAATACTGGTCTCCATCATGGTGACTACAAACTTTATTATTTTCAATAAAACATCAACAACTAAATATCTGTTAATTCTCAACAAGAACTTTTGTACATGTATGAAAGAAATAATGTTAACCTGGTTTTTAAACTGCATTCACACTCAGTGTGGCTGGAAGTCAGTTGTAGTTCTTGTGTTTCTCTTTTTTCTGTTCTTGTTTCTCTGTCCTTCAGTGATTCTGCTTATCAGGTGTTCATCAGTGTCTGAATTCACTCACTTCTTTTCATTCAAGTGGACTGTTTTAGTGAACTAATGAAGGGAATAGTGAATGAGGTTATAGGGTGTGATTTGGAACACAGCCGCTGAGTGTCGACTTTGAGCGCTGCTAATTCACAGTATATTCCTGTAGGCTATTTTCTCGAAAACGACAAATACAATCCATAATGCATTGTTTTCTACGGTAGATTACTGTTTTAATGGAAATGGTATGATACTATCAGAATTTGACCTTTTTTTACAGCAAGGGTTAACAGTGCAGAAAAAGATTCAAAATTGTTACAAATATTCAAAAGATCTAAGACAGAGCCGACAGGGTTTGACACAAAAAGCAAAAGGTCATCAGCGTAGAGTGAGACACGATGTTCAATAACTGAATAGAGCGGGGAATTTTTCTAAGCTATAGAAAGAGGTTCTATTGCTAAGGCAAACAATATTGGTGAAAGAGGACAACGAGTAACTCTTGTGAGGGGGAAATATTGGGAACACAAAAAATTAGTCTCACACCAGCAACAGGAGCAGTGTACAGAAGGCATATCCATGACGTGAAAAAGGGGCCAAAGCCAAACATATCTAATATAGTGAATAAATAATTGCACTCCCGGTCAAAGGCCTGTTCTGCATCTAATGAGATTACTGGATGGAGAAAAAATAATATTTAAGAGTCACCGAATATTTGATGATAATTGTCGTCCTCTAATGAAATCGGTCTGATCTTCAGATATTATTTTAGGGAGACAGGCATCCCAGACGGCAAGCCAGCACCTTAGCCAATAACATCAGAATTTAACAAACTTATGGGCCTCCAATTGCTGGTAAAGGCATATTTGATAAAAAAACACTGGTGCACACTTGCAACTACAGTTGAGTACAGTTTACCTCGATACTTTAGTTTACATGGTTTATTCAATCTGGTTTTAGAGCTTTTAATGTACACATATTGTCCTCTTGTCGAATTCAAATGGGTCAAGCAGTCCCAATCAATCCCATTTAAAAACTCATCACAGGCTTTAAGTCCACTTTTTTATGTCCTTCCCTCACTAACTTCCCTCCGTCTCGTTCAATCGAACCTACATCAGAATGCCCACTACTAGCAGAACCCTTGGGCAATGGGTTTAAATGGAAGGCCCTAAGCACTTGATCACTTGTGGGTACATTAAGAACAGGGACCCTACATGAACAGGGACCCTACATGTGAACAAGATGCGTTTAGCAACTTAGCCGTCTAAAAGACTATTTAGGTGAGTTGAAACAATGGCTAAGTTGCTAAACGCATCTTGTTCACATGTAGGGTCCCTGTTCATGTTGGACAGACATTTTAATTGCATTTTGTGTCTGTTAAGAGGCTTAAAAATGCTCTTTATGTCGATGCCCCCATAGCTGCCGTTTTAGCTGGGTGGGAGCTCTGGGCATTCGCGGTCGCAGCTCCGCGTAGCAAGCACCAATCCGGTTAGTTTTTTTTCCTATAGTCAGTACTCACAAAGGTCTAACGATCAAGATTAACTTAAAAATTGCCCAGAGTTCTCCTTTAAACACAGCCACATCTGACAACAACGGAAGGGTAGACTGCTCCTTCTCCTGGTAGCCTTGAAAGTGGCACAATTCACCTGTCATAGTCTAAAAGTGAAGTGGAACACACCCAAAGTCATTGGCGGTGTGATAGGCGCTCAAGGCTGTACGAGGCTCAACCAACGAGGCTTAAATCTAACGCTGAAGATCAGTGCATTGGCCAGAACTGACGCCAGACATGTAAAATGGCCTTTAAAGGGTTAGTTCACCCAAAAATGAAAATTATGTCATTAATGAATCACCCTCATGTCGTTCCAAGCCCGTAAGACCTCCGTTCATCTTCGGAACACAGTTTAAGATATTTTAGATTTAGTCCGAGAGCTTTCTGTCCCTCCATTGAAAATGTATGTACGGTATACTGTCCTTGTCCAGAAAGGTAATAAAAACATCATCAAAGTAGTCCATGTGACATCAATGGGTTAGTTAACATTTTTTGAAGCATCGAAAATACATTTTGGTCCAAAAATAACAAAAACTACGACTTTATTCAGCATTGTATTATCTTCCGGTTCTGTTGTCAATCCGCGTTCATGAGTCCGCAGTGACGCTGCTGACGTAAGATGCTGCTGAAAGTTGAACCATTTTAACCATTGAAAGGATTCTACTACAAAGACATCGGACATGGCTAAATGATTTTTGGTCACAAATTTATAATACTCTAATGCACTAATAACTTTTAACACTAATACATTTGTAAATTCAATATATACATTATGTGTGGTTTCAGTCTCAAAATACTAGGTGGTAGGGACACTGTATATGTAGAATATCAGATTCCAGGACTATAACTTTAATACAGTATGTGTTAAAATAGCTATACTTCTCTGCTATAAATGCATCAAGTCGTCCCACTGAAAACACATTTGCCCTATCAAACACATTTGCAACAATCCCGGGTCAGATGTTGGGTAGGTGATGGTCGTGTTTGTGCCTGTGTTTACTCTTCAGTTCAGGTGCTGGTGAGGTGTTACTGTTGGTCAGCTGGGGAAAGTATTGAGGCTGCAAAACAAATTTTATCTTGTCAATTAATAGCCAAATAATGTGAAGTGAGCAACATTCATAACAAGGTTGGAAACCCAAGTATTTTTTTAAATTCCTATGTTGCAGTTTTAAATTTTTTGATTCCTCCAGAAATTAGTCTAGCTATTGTCATTTTTAAACATTTAAGTCAATCCCAATTCTCTAGTTTTCATCTCTGAAAAGAAATATATTTACAATATAGACACAAAAATGATGACACAATTACTTTAGAAATCACTTAGCAGATTCATTATTTTATTTATAAACATAGATTGGTAAGTCTGTTAGTAAAATATGTTGACTTTAGCAATCTTTGTTTTATATATAGCTATTACAGATATCTTAATATCCTTTTAAATTCTGGTTCTTAACAAACTTTTCTTTTGACATCTCCATTTTAAAGGCCCTATATGGTTCAATTCCAGAGATATTGGAATGTCAATGTGTCACGATTTGGTCTTGTCTCTGTCACGTTTTGGTTTGTTCATGTCATGTTCCATGTCTGTCTTGTGATTCCCTGTTTATCATGTGATCCTGTCATGTCTTGTCATTGGTTAATCGTCTGTTCATTGTTCACAGGTGTCCCTTGTCTTGTCATTAGTCTGTGTATTTAAGCCCTCATGTTTGCCATGTGTCTTTGTCAAGTATTGTTTTCTGTGACTGCTGTTGCGTAAGTTCATGTCCACGGTTTTGTTTCATGTTATGTTTTGATCTTGTTGTATGTTATTTTTTGAATAAACACTGCACTTGGGTTCTCGCTACAACTTGCCTCCAGTGGATCCTTAGAGAATACTTGACCTACAACCATGAACCCAGCAGTTGCCCTCCTGCATCAAGGAGCCTGCATCTAGGAGACCTCACCATAGAGGATTATGTGGCAGAGTTTTGTGAACTCTCTCACCACTTGGACTTTAATGATGTGGCCTTTAAGGACATATTTAGGGTAGGTTTAAATGAACCTATCTGGTCATGTTTGCCAGGTGGGAAGATTCACTTTTCCTTGGCCCAGTATATTGACTATGCCCTTTTATTAAGCGGCTCAACTTTTACTGTGGGTTTGGCGGACGAGGAGCCCCGCAAACCTACAGTACCTGCCAAGCCTGAGCCACTTCATGTCATGCCTGCCAAACCTGAGCCTGCACTTCACGTCATGCCTGCCAAGCCTGAGTTTCTTCACGTCATGGTTCCCGAGCCTGAGGAGCTTCACGTCATGCCTGAGCCACTTCACGTCATGCCTGCCGAGTCTGAGGTTCACGTCATGCCTGAGCCACTTCACGTCATGCCTGCTGAGCCTGAGCTTCTTCACGTCGAGCCTGAGCTTCTTCACGTCATGCCTGCCGAGCCTGCACTTCACATCAGTCCTGCCGAGCCTGCACTTCACGTCAGTCCTGCCGAGCCTGGACTTCACGTCAGTCCTGCCGAGCCTGCGCGTCACGTCACACCCGCCGAGCCAGAGACTGTTCAACGTTATGCCCGCCGAGCCAGAGGCTGTTCACGTTATGCCCGCCGAGCCAGAGGCTGTTCACATAATGCCCGGCGAGCCAGAGCTGGTTCACGTTATGCCCGCCGAGCCAGAGGCTGTTCAGGTCACGTCTGCCCAGCCAGAGACTGTTCACCTCACGTCTGACCAGCCGGTGTCCCCGGACAAGATGGCCGCCGCCCAGCCGGTGTCCCCGGACAAGATGGCCGCCGCCAAGCCGGTGTCTGTTCCTGAGCCGGTGTCTGTACCTGCCCATAACCCCATAGCTGCCCCCCAAGAATTTTTTTTGGGAGGGGGGGGGCAGTAGGCCCCTTGATGGGACCATGGAGGCCGCGCCGCCCTGGCCTCCTGAACTACCTGGTCCGCCCTGGCCTCCTGAACTGCCTGATCCGCCCTGGCTCCCTGCACTGCCGGATCCGCCCTGGCTCCCTGCACTGCCGGATCAGCCCTGGCTCCCTGCACTGCCGGATCCGCCCTGGCTCCCTGCACTGCTGGATCCGCCCTGGCTCCCTGCACTGCCGGATCCGCCCTGGCTCCCTGCACTGCCGGATCCGCCCTGACTCCCTGCACTGCTGGGTCCGCCCACGCCATGCCACGGCCCAGGTCCGCCCACACCATGCCACGGCCCAGGCCCGCCCACACCATCCTGTGTCCTGTCCCCCTGGCCCACCATCCCTCCCCCAAGACCGCCTCCGCTCCACCACCCTACTTGAACATTGTTTTGTTTGCGTGTCTGGAGTCACCCTTAGAGGGGGGGATCTGTCACGATTTGGTTTGTTCATGTCATGTTCCATGTCTGTCATGTGATTCCCTTGTTTGTCATGTGATCCTGCCATGTCTTGTCATTGGTTAATTGTCTGTTCATTGTTCACAGGTGTCCCTTGTCTTGTCATTAGTCTGTGTATTTAAGCCCTCATGTTTGCCATGTGTCTTTGTCAAGTATTGTTGTCTGTGACCACTGTTGCGTAAGTCCATGTTCACGGTTTTGTTTCATGCCACGTCATGTTTTTGTTTCATGTTATGTTTTGATCTTGTTGTATGTTATTTTTGAATAAACACTGCACTTGGGTTCTCGCTACAACTTGCCTCCAGTGGATCCTTACAGAATGTGGTAACATGTTACGATACTGCGTATTTGAACTATTGGTTGCTCAAAATCCCTTCCAAATATCCCTGAAATGGATTCAAATATATGTTCTTATAAATACACTCTTGAGAGCAAGTTAATGTGCCACAATGTGACAATTTCAGTGGATTTTTGGCACTCAGAGAGGTATGTTTTATATAATTGTTTTGATTAGGAAACAATATACATATTCCCCTTTTATCAGTATCAGTAATGAGCTTTTTGTTTGCTGAGTGCAGTAGACTCTGAATATGATCAGTGAATCGAACACTACATGATGATCAAATCATATCTTTATCATCAAATAGCCAACATCATCTGAACCCAATTTCTCTTGCAGATTATTTTGACCGATTATTTTGATTATAATAGTGGATTACTCAGTCAATATACATCCATTACATTTAATATTTTGTCTTTCTTCAGAATGCAAATTAGCTTTGAAAATTACATAAAAACAAATTCTTCATGATCCTGAAAGCAAGAAATTATATATTTAAATTCTTTAAATTTAAACAATTTAAATTTATATTTAAACAACTTAAATTTAAACAAATTCCTTTGAATAAAATATTAATCATTTCTTATTTCTTTGTTTTTTTGTAAATGAACACTTAATGGAAAATTTCTCATTGTTTTTTTCTATTGAATTAATGGCAATTAATGGGTTAATGAACAAGTAAAAACGCCATGCATTCGTTTTCCCTTGTGCTAAACTATGCCCACAGTAGTTGATATGCAGTGCATGTTTTTATACCTACATTTAACAACAGTTTTATTAACTTTTTTACTTTTTGAGTTTGAGAATATATTTTTCATTTCTTCCCATCGACATTATCTTTCTTTACTTTAGATTCTTACCCCAGGAGGTCTGCGTCTTATGCCTTTCTCATAGCGTCTTCCGAGACGATCATTTTCTCTGCCCCATCCCGTTCCCCCATCCTCCTGGAAGTATGGCAGCTCTAAAAGCTCTTCACAGGACAACCTGCCAGAGGGATCCATTACTAGGCAGGACTTAAAAGACACAAACACAAACACACATTTACTTGTAAGTCTTCCAAACCCATCTTATAATGTTCGAAATCAAATCACATCATTCTAAGTATTCAGACCATTATGTACAACAGATGCCTTCCCACATAGCAACATTGTGACGTCCCAGATCCGGCCCACATCTGGCACACGTGGAAATATGATCTGGCCCACATGCAGCGTGTTTGGTCGTGTGAAATATGATCTGGCCCACTGTTTGCCAGATCTGGGCAACAAGCAGGCCATAGCAATGCCACATGTCAGCCAAGAGCAAAGAAATGAACAAGAACTGGACCTTATCTGAGCCACAAAATCTGTGTATATTAAATATGGAGTCATCTCAGCCTTAATACGCCTGTTAACAAGCAGAATCACTGAAGGAAAGAAGACAACAGAAAAAGAGACGAGCAGAAACACAAGAACTACAACTGATTTCCAGCCACGTCACAATGTTGCTATGTGGGCAGTGGGGATTAAACGCAGGTCTCTCATGCTCAGAGTCTTAATACTTTCCAACTCAGCAAACTCTCCAATGAATGAACCCAGGTACAGAAGAGTTATGAGCAGCGAGTTGTTAAATTCCCCCCCAAAAAAACAAAAACAAATCATCTTTACTAGATCTTTCTTAGATATCATTAGGAAACATGGAATTAGTTCTCTTACGAGAGGTTCTCTCGTATTGCGCAAGTTTAGCTTACGCTACGGGAAAGATTCATCTTCTCGAGATATTGAAGTCAAAAAATTATCCTTAATTTTGTATTCATTGTCAACGCAGTGCAGCAGCTAGCAGACCTAGAGCAGGCAGTCTTGCGTGCTCATTGGCTGCCCTGCGGGCATCTGCTGCAGCCTACCAGTGAGCCCCGCGTGACGTCACGCCCGATGAAGGTCGCCCGCGCCTTCATAGCGTCATAGCCCGCCAGAATGGGCGTGGCTTAGCGTATAAAAGAAGGGGCTGTAGGCTGAATTCCCTGATTTTCGTCTCTTCAGCGAAGCCCTTCGCATCGCTGGATCTGAGAGAAGCCACCGCCGCCGTCGAACAGCGAACAGCCAGCTTAGGACAGCGCTGAGGAAGCCGGCCGTCGTCGCCACCTTCAGCCATCCGTGCGAGCTACGCTATCCGGCGACGTATCCTTTTTACATTGCTATTGTATTCTCTTACTCCTAAAAGAGCAGCGAGCGTCTTTTTCAAGATGCCTCGCACTTCCTGTGGCTCGTGCAGGGCCCTGATCAGCGCCGGAGACCGCCACGTGATCTGCGCTCTCTGCCTGGGCCCCTCGTGTCCGGGGGCTGCGAGTTCTGTGAAGCGCTTCCGCTGTCGACCCTGCGGGCTCGACTCGAGGCCTTCAACCCGGAAGCAGTCACTCCGCCCTTTGTGATTGCGTTGCAGGGACAACGTTCCCCCAGGGGAATGGTCCCTGCACCCCCAAACAGTCCAGAAACGCCTATTCGGCAGAGCGGAAGTCGACCTATTTGCGTCAAAAGACAACGCTCATTGCCCAATGTTCTTTTCGAAGAAAGAGGACGCGCTGGCCCAGGTCTGGCCCAGCCTCCCACTGTATGCTTTCCCTCCGGTCTCCCTGTTACCACAGGTGATCAAGAGAATCAGGGACTCCCGGAACTAGCACGGCTGTCACATGCAGCTCCGTGGCCTATTCCGGTGAGGGCAGATCTCCTCTCTCAGGCTCGCGGCTCGATCTGGCATCCCCATCCAGAGCGCTGGTCTCTGCACGCATGGTTGATCAACGGGTACTCGTTGCCCTGCCAGAAAGAGTGATGAACACGATCATCTGGACCCGCGGACGTGCGAGGTTGCGCATCTGCTCACTTTCCTACAAGAGCTGATGGATAAGGGGAGGTCCCCATCCACGCTCAAAGTTTATGTGGCGGCCGTGGCGGCGTTCGCAGAATCGACGCACGGCCAATCACTGGGAAGACATGAGCTGGTCATCCGCTTCTTTAAGGGAGCTAGAAGGATGAATCCGCCGCGCCCCCCGTCGGTTCCTATGTGGGATCTTTCCTTGGTCCTCGAGGCCCTGAAAGCCTTCCCATTTGAGCCACTAGACTCTGTGGAGTTGAAATACCTATCACTAAAAAACGTTTTTCTGACCGCGCTGTCATCAGTCAAACGTGTGGGGGACCTGCACGCGCTGTCAATCAGCGCGACGTGTCTTGAGTTCGGTCCGAATTACTCTAAAGTCATCATCAAACCTAGACATGGCTATGTTCCAAAAGTGATGGGCACTCCTTTCAGAGCGCAAGTCATTTCACTGTCGGCTCTGCCAGCGTCAGACAGTGAGACAGACGTGAATCTCCTTTGCCCGGTCAGGGCGCCGAGGTTTTACACTACCCGCTCCGCCTCTTTCAGGCGCATGGAGCAGCTGTTTGTTTCGTTTGGTGGGCGCACCAAAGGTCTCGCTGCCTCGAAACAGACTCTGTCCAGATGGATAGTGGACGCTATTGCTATATTATGCGTCAACAGGTCTGCAATGCCCTCTGGGCATCAGGGCTCATTCCACTAGAGGCATGGTCCACTCATCGTGGGCATGGTCCAGCGGGATTTCTATCCACGACATATGTGTAGCGGCGGGCTGGAGCTCCCCGTCTACCTTTGTCAGGTTCTATAACCTAGAAGTTCCCGCCCTGCAGGCTAAACTTCTGTCAGTCTAAGCGAGTTGTGCGTTCTGCCCAGATATATCATGCTCAGACCACTCTCACGTGACTCAGCTCTCCTGGTTGAGCTGCACTAGTAGGGATGTGCTATATGCTTATACTATTCCCTATGTGTGCTTATGTACGAGTGATGGCCCGCGTGGCTGGCCACCGTATTTTTCCACTTATTGGGTTCCCCGAGAAACCTCGGCGACTCATGGGTGGTTGCTTGGCGCGCACGGCATTGACAAAAAGTTCCCGCAGCGTAAGCTAAACTTACGCAATACGAGAGAACCTCTCGTAAGAGAACGTACTCGGTTACTAACGTAACCTCGGTTCTCTCTAGAGAGGGAACGAGTATTGCGTAACCGGCCGTGCTCGCACCACGAGCGACTTCGCTTCAGTCGACGAAAACCAGGGAATTCAGCCTACAGCCCCTTCTTTTATACGCTAAGCCACGCCCATTCTGGTGGGCTATGACGCTATGAAGGCGGGGGCGCCCTTCATTGGGCGTGACGTCACGCGGGGCTCACTGGTAGGCTGCAGCAGATGCCCGCAGGGCAGCCAATGAGCACGCAAGACTGCCTGCTCTAGGTCTGCTAGCTGCTGCACTGCGTTGACAATGAATACAAAATTAAGGATAATTTTTTGGCTTCAATATCTCGAGAAGATGAATCTTTCCCGTAGCGTAAGCTAAACTTACGCAATACTCGTTACCTCTCTAGAGAGAACCGAGGTTACGTTAGTAACCGAGTACGTCTTCACTGTTATGTCGATGATACTCAGCTGTATATTTCTTCAAAACCTAACGAAACTTACCAATTCACAAAATTAACGGAATGCATAGCTGATATAAAAAATTGGATGACTAGTAATTTCCTACTACTAAATTCTGAAAAAACAGAGATTCTAATTATTGGACAAAAAACTTCCACACGTAATAACCTAGAATACTGTCTAACACTTGATGGCTGCTCTGTCAAGTCTTCGTCGTCGGTTAGGAACCTGGGTGTGCTCTTTGATACCAATCTTTCATTTGAAAGTCACGTATCCAGGGTACCCCCAGGATCCTCCAACTTAAATTCAAGGCTTTTTAAGACCTTTTTAATACCATTTCAAATGAAATTCAATGCCAACTTCGTACCCATTCCGACAGAAGTATGAGGGGAAAATGTCAAATCTGTATACATTTTAAACCCTAGAAAATAATTATGTACAAGGAGGCTACTTGACTGATAATTTAAGTAAAATGTTTTATTTAATTAATTTAATACATACGCAACAGCATTGTAGCGCGCACGTGTGTGTAGGCCAGTGTAATTTTGGCAGCCATTTTTTATTTAGTCTTAAGACGAAAATGTTTATTGGTCTTAATCACATTTGAGTCATCCAGTTTTTTATAGTTGTAGTTGACGAAAAGTCTTTGCATTTTTTGTCCACTTTTAGTCAAACTGCAGTTACTTTACTTTTGGTAGTTATTTTATATGTAGTCTTTAGACAGAAAATGTCATAATAATTATTCTCTCTAGGCCAATTCAATTAGGCTTATGAGAAATTATTGACATTGCACGACTTTAGCAGTAGCACTTGTGCAGTTCTACATAATTATCCCTTTTTTACCTTAAATACCTTAAAAAAAATGCTTTAAATAAAACAATGTTCATTAAATTTGCAATGTTAAAAAACATTAAAATCGCCAGTAGGTGGCGGTAACTCCCTATCTTTATGAGTGAGTCTTTGAGTCATTCATTAATTGGATCTCACGATTCGTTCAAAGCCACATATTTCGTTGCAAAACAGAGCAATAAGCCTGACAATGCTGTTTTAAATGTAGTACATCACTTAATGTTACCCTTTTTTCTTTTCTTTTTTACTGTTGTATAAAATCAATGTCACATTTGAAATCGTGTGGATATTCGGGAAACATTGCATTCTTGCTCGTATGAACACTGGTGGATATATCAGCCTGCATTTTGATCGCAGATTTAGTCGCACAAACAGCGCAAGCGGCTCGTGACAGAACACAGACCGACTGGATGACACTTTAATTTAAGTACAACATTTTAAATAAAGATCGCTGAATGCCAACTGTTGCCAACCAGCTTGTCTGTGTTTTCAGATAATCCGCGCTTCAGCAGTGTGTTTTCTTTTAACAGAAAAGCTCGTATTTGGGGTTTAAATTCTGTCATTTGTGGCCACAGCGGATTAAACTAGGCTAGGTACTATCTTGTTCTGTACCTCACTTGCCTAGTAACCATAGTAACGGGTGCGCACGCGATCGCTTTTTCTGCTATGACGTGGAGTGCGAGGTGCACTCAACCAAAATTGTCTCT